AAACAGTTTACTTAGCAATTTCTACAAATCAAAACAAAGTAAAAAAAAAAAAAGAAATAGAACTTCCAGTAGTAGAGTATATACGCCACTAGTGGGGGATTTTTATTGCAGTTGTATTCTATACATCAGTTTGGATAGTGGACATCTTTACATTGCTGACTTTCCTGATCATAAGCATAGTATAGCTTTATGAAGAAAACTGCTTCAAGAAGAAACTGGAAACATGGCTAGTCCTATAATGGGTGAGTTATTAAAACATTTCATGCAAAAAATATTAATATTTATAGATTTACCAGTGAGTTCTAGCTCTATCAGATGTGATAGCAAACAGTAATTCCAGTCTTACAGAAACTCTTTAAAAGAATAAAAAGAGGGAATTGTCTCAAACTCATTTTATGTGTGTAGCATATTTTGATGCATAACCTATCAAGGATAGTAAGAGAAAGAAAATTATAGACTAGTCTGATTATGAACATAGATAAACAACTCATAAATGAAATATTAGCAAATTGAACCTGGTTATATATAACCAGCCTGATGAAGTTGGAATTTATGTTAGGAATGAAAGGTTCTTTTTACATTGGAAAATCAGTCAGTGTATTTTATCACCTTAACAGATTAGGAAAACAAATCATATGTATGAAGACTATGTATCAATGTATGAAGACAAAGATAAAATTCATCATCCATTCATGTTGTTTAACTCTTAGCAAACTAGACCTAGAAAACTGCTTTGATGGGATAAAGGTTTAAAACAAAACAAAACAAAACAAACACAACACAGCAGCTATAGCGTGCTTAATGATGAAATGTTGACCTCTTTAGATGTTCTTGGATTTTTGAGAAAGCTTAAGAAGTATGACTATAAAACAGTATTTAAAAAATTCTATTTCTGTATACTAATAAGCAGTCCTTTAGACAATGAAATTAATAGCAAAATCATTTATAATAGAATCAAGAAACAGGAAGCTCCTGAAATAATTCTGACAGAAAAAGTATAAGACCTCAAGGGGGAAATTGTGAACCTTAATGGAGATATTGTTATTTCCATGTGTGTGTTTTAACTTGAAAATATAATTTAAAAAATTTTATGTAAATACAAATTATTTGGAATAACCAAGTCATTTTTGAAAAAGAACAAGATGGGACTACTTTGCCTGTGAGGTATGGAGAGTTACTACAAAACCGTAGTAACTAAGATGTGTGTCATTGGTACAGGGATATGCAAATACACCAAGAGAACAGAGGAAAGAGCCCACATCAGACTTATGCATGTGTGGATACTTGACCTCTGATCACTGAGGAAAGGGCAGCTTTTTCAATAATCCATCCTGGAACAACTGGGTATCCATAGAATAAAGATAAATTCAGACCCTGTATTTCACTTCTGAAAACTATAAACATCAGCTTCAGGTGGAATAGTGACCTGAATGTGAAAGGCCGACGTATAGAGTTTATAAAAGCTTAGAAGATAATATAGGAGAATGTCATTATTACCTCAGGGTTGGGAAAGATTTCTTGAACAGGAAATAAAAGCACTAAAGGAAAAGACTGATAAATTGGACTGCATTAAAATTAGAAACTTAATGTTACCAAAAGATGCCCTAAAGACAGTGAAAAGGTAGACTCAGTGGGAGAATATGTTTGCAGTATACAACTGAAACGTAGTAGTATCCAAAAGGTATGAATGAATGAGTACCTTCCCCTTTAGGGTAGGGATGAGGGAGAGAAGGATGGGAAAGGTGTGCTCAGAGGGAGGCTCTGTGGCTTCAGGGGTTCTCCTTCAAAGTGCAGGGCCACTTTGCTTTACCCTGAACTCACGTTTTATGCATTTATCTGAATGTAAGCACATTGCTTAACAGAGTGAGAAGACATGAAAACATACAGTTATTATGTTAGTTTGCTAGGGCTGTCATAACAAAATACCAGAGTCTGGGAGACTTAAACAACAGAAATTCATTTTCTCACAGTGCTGGAGGCTGGAAGTCCAAGTTCAAGATACAGCAGGTTTGGTTTCTCTGGAGGCCTCTGTCGGCTTGCAGATGGCTACCTCATCGCTGTGTCCTCACATAGTCTTTCCTCTGTGCTTGAGCATTCCTGGGGTCTCTTTCTATTTCTAAATTTCATCATCTTGTAAGGATACCGATCAGATTGGATCAGTGCTCCCCTTACATGCCTCATTTTGACTTAGTCACCACTTTAAAGGCCCTATCTCCAAATATAGTGACATTCTGAGGGGCTACAACACATTATGTAGTAAAGATTTGAATAGTAAGTGGGTTTTTGTGATTTGGAAAGAAGTTCTTAAGCCAATTTTTGATTTAAAAAATCCTGTATCTGACAAACTCTAAGATAGAAGTAAAGATGTTGCGCTCTGGAGAACTGTGTTAACTGACTCAAACTACAGTTATGTATGTGTCAACCTGGAGTACAACTGTTTTTGAAAATGTGAGAGTGATTAAAAAAACTTCAAATTCAAGTATCTTTTACAAATACTCTTAAATATAAATGTATAACCAAGTGAATAAATGTAATATAAGTAGATATTTTAGTCTCATCTTTAAAAAACACACAACTTTATTGATTTCAGAGAGAGGAAAGGAGAGGGAGAGAGAGAGAAACATCAGTGATGAGAGAGTCATTCATCGGCCGCCTCCTACAAGCCCCTGACTGGGGATCAAGCCCGAAACCCAGGCATGTGCCCTGACCAGGAATCAAACCCTGACCTCCTGGATCCTAGGCCGACGCTCAACCGCTGAGCCACGCCCGGCCGGGCTACTCTCACCTTTATCACCTAACATTTATAAATTCTATTTGGCAAAAAAAAAATAAAAAATTAAGTCTTTTCACTGGGAGGAGAGACAGGATGCATTTTATTTGGCCATATGTTGTATTTTTATTACAGTAAGCTCTGTTGTAACACAAGTTGTGTATTCCTATAATTTACCCCACTGTGCATAATCATGCGGTGAAAACCACAGGGCTGATGGGAAAATAGAGGCACAACACTCAAAAACGTTGTCAGTTACACCTAATTGGATAGGAACCTAATAAAAACAGCAGCACAGTTTTATACACATTAAATAGTTAAGAAATAGGTAAATACTCTAATGAGCGTGGCACTTTACCTTAAAAGGTAGCTGAAGTTTTCTTGGGGAAGTGGGCATTAAGAGGGTTGCAGTGTGTTACTGTAAAGTGATGGAGGAGGGTCATCAGAAATTGGAGACTAAGTTGTAGTACCAGAGGTAGGTGAGTGCGGCTCATGATAAACTATCAGAGGTAGCTGGTAAATGTTTGGGGGTATGCATGTGTTTTGTGTGTTCCTATGTGGCTTGGTTTAGCTGGCTGCAATTTTTTGTGTTTGCCTAGGATTTCTCACAGATAAAATCATGTATAAGCAAACACAAAATGCTTGCGGTGCTCAAATTACTGCTTAATCATGTTGGAACACATTTGTGTTTCCAAGCAGCAGAACTTATTGTATGTAATTTTTTTTTTTAATCATTTGTAGCCCCATCTCTGTATCTTTACCTGATTTGTAAGGATTCTGCAGTAGGCTCTTTTTACTGAGCTTTTGAAATGACTGCCTAATGTTTGAATGCTACATACCACCTTGAGTGTCTTGGTGAATTTTAAGTTTTTCCAGGCTAATGAATTGAGTGATTTGGGTGTGGAATCAGATTTTTGCTTAAGTCTGGTGGATGATCACTCAGACACAGGAAAACATCAGTTCTTTTCTTTCAAGCGAATGCATTATGCTCAGTGACCTCCCTGCTTTTGGTATTGCTACCAGCATACCTTTAAGCCAAAACCCAAATCAATATTATCATATAAAATTGTGTGGTTGATTATGTTTTGGGATTCCTCATTCATTTCTCGCTTTTATCCACTATGGCTGTTTTATACCAAAGTTTAGCAATAGCAGGTTTCTGGGAGAAGTCTTGTTCTTTCATTCCCTCTCATTCTTCTGGCATGTCTGGTTGGTAACACTGAGGGTACATGAAATGCTTCCCCTGTTTTCCTACCACAGCTTTTTTTGGTTAGCTTAAAGACCCTTATGTTTATGCCCTGAACCAGCTTTCCTTCACAGCATTTCTATTTCCCTTCCTGTCTAGGCCTTCCTTCATGTTCCTGCAGTCCTACGTGCATGCATCTCTGTTATAGTATATATCACATTGTGTTTTGCGAAGTTGGGCTCTCTCTGAATAAACTGCATACTTCTGGAGGACATGGACCGTCTTTATCATTTTTACATTTCTACTAAATAGCATAGTGTTTGAAGTGGAGGTTAGGTGTGTGGATAGGTGAATGAACGAAGTGAGCTTGAAGAGAGCTGTTCAGATGATCCTATCATTCACTTCCCCCCTCATTTTGACTAAGTTACAGAATCTCTAGGTATCTTGGTCACTTGAACTTTGAGGATTTTAGCAATGCAATAATAAATTTTACTTTTGTGGAACCAGTGATTCTACACCATCTGTTTTGTATTTTGGAGGTTTTTTGCTATAAATAGTAAATGAGCATGGCTAATTTGCAGCCTTTGGGTTGAGGTTTTTTTGACACAATATAATAGTAAAATCCTATTTTTCAGCTTGCTGCTTTGAAATTTAAAAGTGTATATTGTTTAAATGAAATAAACTCAGGAATTGGGACAGTATTTCTTTTAAGATAATAAGGGGAGCACTGGCCGGGTGGCTCATTGGTTGGAATGTCGTCCAGTAAACCAAAAGGTTGCAGGTTCGATCTGCAGTCATGGCTCGTACAGGAGGCAACAACAGATTGATATTTCTCTCTCACATCGATGTTTCTTTCCCTCTCCCCCTCTCCCTTTCTCTTTCAGATCAATAAAAACATATTCTTAGGTGAGGCTTAATAAATGAATGGATTAATGAATGAATAAGTAGACAACAAGGGGAAATGTTATGGCTTAATTCTTGATTATTACTGCAACTGTGTAAGTAACTTTTTGAATTGTTTTTAAGACTTTCTTCTTCTTACAGGATCTCTTTATTGTTAGACATGAATTGGCCATAATGAGACTAGCTGCCTTTATGGGCATTACTATGTTAGTTGGAATAACTGGACTCTTTTATACTCAACTAATTGGCATCATCACAGTAAGTATATTTTAATATAAAGAATTATATTTATGAACACATTGCCTAAGTATGAACTTAACTCTAAAATGTTATAGAAAGTTTAGAAACTAGAGGAAAAAATTACCCATAGTTATTCCCATTTCTGCCTGTATAATTTTAAAGCAGTTATAATCAGCATATAGAGTGCACATATAATTTTTCTTTCTGCCTTTAAAAATTAAGATGAAGTATTTTTATGTAGCTGTAGCTCCCGTAAGTAACCTTTTCCCTGTTGATCAGAATCTAGTGTGTAATTACTGTTTTCTATATTACAAGGAACACTTACTTTGAACATATCTTTTTCTACTTTAAGCTATTATATAAGGTAAATTCCACAAAAAATGGAGTTGCCAGTAGAAACATTTTATTAGTAATTAAATCTTTTTTTTGGTATGTACATATTAGTTACATGGGATTTAGCACAACAGAAAAGATCAAAAAGTGCGAGAAATATTAAAGATTTAAAAGCTTAACAATACATGGCACTGCAGAAGATGTAGGGTATATGACTTTTTCATATATTATTGGTGGGAGTATATATTGGTATATCCTTTTTGAAGGGCAAATTGTCAGTGTCTATCAAAATTTAAAATGCATAGCCCTTTCTCTACAAATTTATTTTGCAGAGACTGTTTGTTTACTTATATATAAACATTTAAGTTAAAAAAGATCTTCATTGTTATGTGTAATGTATGTATTGTGTATGAAAACTTAAGTGATTACCAGAATATATTCAGCAAAAAATGTAAGAAAAAATGCATCAAAATTTACTATAAAGTAATAATGATAGAGAAAGTGTGTTACTGGCATAAGCATAGACATATTGATAAATGAAATGGAATTGAGGGTCCAGAAGTATACACAGATACTTGTGGACACTTATTGTCATCAAGGGTACCAAGACTACTTAATGGGGGAAGGAAAAGTATTTTCAAAGAAATGCTGCTGGGACAACTAGATATCCACATATGAAGGAATTAAATTAGACCCTTACTTCACACCAGGTGCATATATGAATTCAAAATGGATGACAGACCTAAATATAAGATCTAAAATTATAAAACTCTTAGAAGAAAACATAGGAGTAAATCTTGGGCTAGGCAGTAGTATCTTAAATATGTCACAAAAAGTGCAAATGACTAAAGAAAAAAAATTGGTAAACTGGACTTAATCAAAACTATAAACTTTTGTGATTCATAGGACACTACCAAGAAAATGGAAAGATGGCCCACAGAGTGGGAGAAAATACTTGCAAATCGTATATCTGATAAGGGACTTGTATCTAGAACATATAAAGAACTCTTATTAAAACTCAATTATAAAATACATTCTAATTAAAACATGGGATTAGGATCTAAATGGGAATTTCTTCAAAGAATATATACAAATGGACAATAAAGACATGAAAAGATGCTCAACATCATTAGTCATAAAGGCAATGAAAATCAAGACCATAATGAGGTTTTGACTTCACACACACTAGGATGGCTACAATAAAAAAAGACACTAACAGAGGTTGGTGATTCATTATAAAGTGATTATAAAGTAGTAATTCAATTATAAAGTAATTCACAATTAATTACAGTAAACCCTTGATTTTACAGCCCTCAACGGATTTCACATTTAATGGATAAAATTTCTGGTCCATATGTCATGTTAAAATTAACACCTTGTTAACTTTAAAATACTTTTAACCAAGATTTGCTTATAATTAAATTAAAAGGTTATTTTTTTGTTATTAATTCACTGTTATTTTTTAACAAATTTTATCCAACAGGCCATGTGTTGGGAAAAACACTGTAATAATTTCGCTGACAACTAAATATTACATATATACAACTATAGTCTACATATTTAAATCCAAGAGTCACCGCTAGTAAACAATGTTCGATGAATGATTAGCATATGATCACACTGCCTCAAGAGTGGTAATTGGTTCTGTTGTTGCGTGGCCTTTTTGCAACAGTTTTAACCAGCGCTGGCCTGTGTTCAGAAGTGCGCTCGCTAAGCCACACCCCAGCTGTGTGCATTTGTTTACTCACAGCGACTGGTAAATGCACTCATTTACTAGACCTATTCAATATAAATTTATAATTACAATAATATATATAGAAAACTTTTCTGTGAAATTAAACTTCATACATACTTACACAAATGTGTCTACATAAGTAGAAACAGGTAAACTAATTTGCCAATTTTTTAACATACACATTCAGAAAACCTACTTTATTATATAACAGACTTTTGGTTTTAAAGATGCCCCCTTTCCCAAATTAGTCTGGTATATCAAGGTTTTACTATGCATTATAGTCTGTTCATAAGTCATGTCAAAATTACCAGATTATGCTTGCATTTTTGAATTTGCACTTTTGAATTTACCAAAATCGTTGGTATATATTTATATCCCCTGGAATAGGATTTCTCAGATTTCCCCAATTTCTTCTGATTAATGACTGGAAATGACATTTGGGAGCTTTGCTGCTAAGAGTACAAGGTACTTGCGAGGGCTGTCAGGGGTTTATAGCTGAGGGTAACAGTGTCCTTCTCACTAGCAGCCCTACTTCAAAGAGTGGGGCTTGGCAACAAAGGCTTCAAGATCTTTTAAGAAGTCCTACTCTAAAATTTTAGCATTCACTTCTGAGTGGACATAAAGTTAAATGTGTCATACTTGTTGGTTTTTAAAGGATTGACAGTAGTCCCCTCTTATCTGAGGTTTTGCTTTCTATGATTTCAGCTACCCATGGTCAACTGTGGTCTAATAATACTGTATTAAATGGGAAATTTTAGAAATAAACAATTCTTAAGTTTTAAATTCTGAGTACCATGAAATCACATACCCTCCTTCTCTGCTCTGCCCCACTTGGGACAGGAATCATCTTTGTCCAGTGTATTCATGCTGTGTACACTACCCACCCATTAGTAGTCATTTAGTAGCTGTTTTTTAAGTTACCATATTGACTATCATGGTATCTCAGGGCTTAAGTAACCCTTATTTTACTTAATAATGATCCTAAAATGCAAGAGCAATAGTGATGCTAGCAATTTGGATGTGCCAAAAAGTAGCTGTAAAGTGTTTATATGTATGGGGAAACCCGTGTGTGTGTGTACACACATATGTGTGGCTTGGTACTACACAAAGGTAGAGTCATCCGTTGGGGGTCTTGGAACGTATACGATGTGGATAAGGGGGGACTACTGTATAATATCAGGTTCTGTTCTGACTCTGTTCCATACTACCAATATGTTAATATTCATTTTCAAATTGCACAATGTTCTTTTTTGCTGTTATATTGAACATTTCATTTACTTAAGCTAGGGAGATTGGTTCTAATGTGCTATTTCTAAAACTGAGTGGAAACCACAATTGCTAAATAATGCTCTCTCCAAAAGTTTACCCTGAGAGGGTATACATATGGTACCCTCTCAGAATAGCCTGTACTAGAGAGATTGGATGTCTGTAGAAATTACACATTTGTAAAACATTAAAAAAAAGAATGCAAGTATTAAGAGAGAGAAAGACAAAAATATATTTTGTTAGTCCAATCTTTAGTCACTGTACTTCTTTTCGAATCCAGTTTCTCTGATAAATTACTGTAAATTTCAGTTCCATTTACCTGGGCTTTCATGGTGAATTTCAAGCTTCACTCTTTTTGGATTAAAAAAAAATATTTTTAAAGGTTTCCAGAATACATTTCCCCCCACATTGATTTAAGGTTCTTTAAGCTTTAGTTATTTAAAGTTGTATGCATTCAGTATTTAATTTTAAATCTAGTGAATTATTAGCATTTATATAAAATAGTATTTCATCTTTTAATTATAGTAAAATACATAGATTTTGCTTACTTTCTGTATAAGACATGCTTGCTGTTTCATTTTATGAAAACGTTAAGACTACCTACAGGAAATTTCAAACCTGGACATGTTTTTGTCATAATCTGAATCTTTTGATCTCTCTTTACAATGTGAAAGAAGTGATGAATTTGTCTGGTAGCATAAAAAAGAAAGGGGGTGAAGGAAAACACAGTATACTTAATCTTTCCAGTGAAGTCTTTCTCCTTCCCCTAGTCCTGTACCCCAAACCCCCAAAACCAAGAAGCATTTTGGGAAAACACTGATAGGAATATAATTTAATTATATAGACTAGGTAATCATATAGTTTCAATGTAGTCCTATTAGACAACATACAAGCAACAAATGCTAGCTTTTTTAAGATTTAGATTGAAGTTTTGAGGAAAAAACATCAATTTTCAGTAATTTTCCCCATTATTTGTTCTTACTTGGAATAAAGAAATCTTTCTCTTCTGTGTAAGAGGAAAAGTGCCGCCTTCTCATTGATAGTGGAAGGTAACAGTATAATCAGTAATGATAATCTGATGTCATTTTAGACCTAGCAAGAGCAGATTGTCTGACTAAGATAAAATAATTAGAAATTACTTAAATTTAAAAACTGAATTTCTAATGTCATTTCCAATGTTAAGAGCCAACACAACCAGATGTTTCTGTGGACTGGACTGATCTTAAGCCCAATTTTAAAGGATTACCTTTGATTATTTTTAGATTTAATTTTAAACAGGATTTATATATGTGTTTGTATATTTTTACTAAAATTAATATTGAAGTTAAAGTGTTTTCAAAGCATTTGGCGTTTTTTATTTAGGGAACAGATTATTCTAATTTTTCCTTACTTAGACTGCTTAGCCTTTTTTTGCTGTTTCTGAATGAAATGGATAGCAATGCTGTTATTAATGTAATTGATGTCAGAATTTCTTATTGAGCAGTAGTTCACACACAGCCAAGAATAATGTCCATCCTGACAACCACCAGTACTAATAGTGCTGGGTGATTGTGTCAGTCATGTTTCAGTCACTGGGCTTGGAGAGAGTTAATCAAGAAGTGCTGTAACAGCTGGTAGAGCGCCTTCTGGCGAGGCTCTGACAGTGAGCTATTGTATACTGTGACACTGCTCTGACAGTTTATCT